CTGCATACTGAAGAATGTGAACCTCATTTTGATGGCAATAGGAAAGAGTTGAAGCAGGATTAGATTTGCATTTTTAAAAGATTTCTGCAGGTTTTAGCATAGGTGGTGAGTGGGTGTCAAGACTAGATGGGGAAGATGGAATAGGAATAGGAACAGACAGTGGGTAGATTTCTTAGATATTTAGAAATTGGAATCAACAAGACAGGGTAGATGATTGGATGTGGGAATGAGTGAGAATTGAGCTATGCGACTGACTTCTGAGCTATCTAGCTAAGGTAACTGAGATTGGGAACACAAAGGTATTTTGAGGAGGGAAGGGAAGGGAATGGGCGGTTAATGTTTTTCCTTAAACCTGTTTTAAAAATTTCGTATTTCTGGAAGTGAAAACTAGTTGCCATCTGTTAACTCTTTCTCCATCCTCTCTAGCTGTTTCTGAAATACTGATAGTAATTATTTTGAGGATATATATAATAAAATATGTAATTTATCAATAAATAATAATTAGATGAAAACATTAGTCTTTTAATTTTTTTGACCATTCCTTTCTTAAAAATTATTGTAGAGGTTAATGATTTTTTCTGTATAATATTTCTAAATATATTTTTTATTGGAATTTAGTAGTAACTTCATCAATAAACAGCATCCCTATTATATAAACCAAGAAACACATCTGCTTAACAGATAGGTCGCCGTTATAGTCTTCATTTGATCCTTGTCAGGTTAATCTACGCAAAAACAATAAAGTTCCTTAGCCGGTTAAAGCCAGTAACGCTTTCCTGTAAACAGCTGTAACTGAGAAAGTGGAGGAGCTGGAGGCAGGGTTACTGGGGAGCTGTGCTTTGTGCTATGCCTGAGAGGACAGTAGGCTCCAGGTTCAGTGAGCATCTGAGTGATCCATCTAAAGACAGAAGTTCTCCTATTGTCAGCTCCCAAAATACCATGTTCAGAGGTGAATCAGCTTCACCTTCAGAACTAAGGTTTTTTTCAGATGGGCACTTCTTTGTTTTTAGGATCTATTTGGTATGTGGTAAAGTAATGCTCTACATTAACCCTTCGTGGCCCAGGCAAGTGAATTACATCTCCACGTAAATCACAGTACCGCTTGGAATAAAAATGTATGTACTTTCATGGTGGTTCTAGAGTTTTAAACGCATGGGAAGATGGATATAATCGATGTCATCCGTGAATGTCAATTATGTGTTCTGTTTAGAGAAACTTCATTACATTTAAAGACTATGGACATAAGCTTTGCATTCTCACATTTTGGAACTTAAATATTTATTTAAAAGAAAACTTCTGTAATGTGTAATGATTTATTAACAACTGCAATATAGTAATTTTTATAAGATTCATTTTTGTCTTATTTACTTATTTTATACCTTTGACATGTTTATTCTAAAGAAAGTTCTCCATTTCTGTAAGTGTTCCAAACTGGCAGGGGAACCTTCCTAAAACTTAGCCCCATTCCGATCATTCCTTGACTAGAGTCCCCAGTGCTTTTCTTCTCTTTTCTTATTTCTTTTCTTTTCTTTTTAAGGAAGATAAGCCCTGAGCTTACATCCACCACCAGTCCTCCTTGTTTTGCTGAGGATGATTGGCCCTGAGCTAACATCCTTACCCATCTTCCTCTACTTTATATGTGGGACACCTGCCACAGCATGGCTTGATAAGCAGTGTGTAAGTCTGCACCTGGGATCCGAACTGGCGAACCCTGGGCCTCTGAAGCCTAGAGCGTGAACTTAACTGCTATGCCACCAGGCCGATGCCTCAGTGCTTTTCTACTGAGTACAGACTCGTTCCCCTTTCACTCAAGGCCCCTAACAAGTATCACCTCCAAGTACTTGTCCTCATTTTATTTTACAGGATTTCCATGCATGTGTCCTATAAACAATCTGAACAGGACTGCCAGCCCCACTAATACATGCTATACTTCCCCTGCCCCATTGTCCTCATTCATGCTCTTCCCAGAACAACTTACCTTCCTCTTTCCGCCTGTCTCTGCCTGCCAAACCCATATGTAGCTTTCAGAGTCAATTTCGGATACCTCTTTTGAAGGCACAAGGTTACCCTTTGGTCCCCATTCCTCCAGCTAATTTTAATCCCTGTTTACTCTTTAATGCTCTGCACATAGTCCTTCTCAGGGCTCCCTTTCTGCCTGTTTCTGAGGTGGTCGGTGTGTTCTTGTCAGTGTGAAATCTTTTGAGGTAGGAGTTGTGTCTTTCTGTCTCTTGCAGGCACCTACAAGATCGTCTTGCTTGGGGCAGTCACTGAGTTAGTAATTGTTGAGGTGAATTGTTAACCAGCACTGCAGTATTCTTTCCACACCAGCAGTGATGCCGCTCCAGTTAATTGTCTATGAGTAGAGATGAATGTAACTTTATTGAAAATATGATTTACATAACTATTAGATTGTAGTTAAAGAGTAACTATAGGTTGCTCTATTAAAATACCAGATTTTAAAATTAGTGAAAAATAGTTTAGTAAAGTGGCCAGTGGCTTTCTTACATACTATTAATACCTTGATGGAGATATAGAAAAGTTATTCTCACAATTAATAGCAGTAGCAGCAATAACACAATGCTCAGAAATAAATGAATAAGAAATGCATGGTATAGATGAATAAAACTACCAAACTTTAGTATGAGATGTAAAAGATTTTGAGTAATTATAGAAACATTACTGGATAAGAATACTGAATATTGTGCAGATTTCAGCTCTATCCAGATTAATTTCTAAATTTACCTTAATCCTAATATAAAATCTAAGATTCTTTTTTTGAATAACTGAATGATACTAAAATTCATCTGTAAAAATGGATAGGTAAGAATAGTTATGGCAGTTTTAAAAAGAAGAAGAATTAAGAGGTTTGAAGGATGAGAAGTTCTTTATCAGATACTAACTGATAGTCTTACAGCAATTTGGTTTCAGTACAAGATTTAAGATATTGTTGGGGACAGTATTAGAACCCCAAATAGAGCTTTTATATATAATTACTTCATCTATTATAAAGTAAGCATCACAAGTCACTGGAGAAATTATTGATTGTTCAATAAGTAATGCTAGGAAAATTGGCTCCTGGTGAAGGGGAGAAGCAAGGCTATATCCTCACCTTTAATCCTAGTAAATTCCAGAAAGAATAAGTGGTAAATATCATCAGAAAAGAAATATAGGTAAAACTAATAATGGGATGTAAAAAGCCTTTGTAAAGCTAAAAGAAATGGAAAAATCAGAGGAAAAGATTGATAATATTTGATTATGTAAAAATTTAGAAACATTTGTATATCAAAACATAAAATTAAAAGATAAGGGACACTTTAGAGGAAAATATTTGCCAAATATAATAAGCAAAAGGTTACTCTTAGTATATAAAGAGCCCATAGGAATAAAATAAGTACTTAACATTCCAATAAATTAATGGGCAAATGTGAACAAAGAAAGCCATAAAGAAATACAAATAAGAAAATGAATATTTAAAACTAATATCAATATAAATTAAAATAGTATAGGTTAAACCATGATGAAACATCATTTTTACCTTTATCAAACTAAGAAAGATTGAAATTTATTGCTTACTTAAAGTTGGTAAGTGTATGATACAATGGACACACTTATGTGTTACTTATTGATAGGTATGTAAATCAGTGTGAACTTTTTGAGGAAGCAGACATTTTTACTGTTTGATACAGTAATTCCACTCCTGGTGATCTATCCTAAAATAATGGAGATACGTAATGTATTAGTCGTTTCTTGCTGTGTACCAAACCACTTCAAAACTGAGTGACTTAAACAGTAAACATTTATTATCTATCAGTTTCTGTGGGTCAGGAGTTCCAGTGCAGCATAGCTGGGTGCCTCTGACTCAGGTTTTTTCACAGCCCAGTAATCCAGATGTTGGCCAGGGCTGCACTCATCTTAAGGCTTGACTGGGAGAGAATCCACTTCCAGGAACACTCATGTGGCTGTTGGCAGGCCTCAGGTATTTGCTAGCTGTAGGCTGAAGACATCAGTTCCTCACCACGTGACCCTCTCCACAGAGCTACTTCAAACATGGCAGCTTGCCTGTTTGAGAGAGCTGAAGTTCTATTCTTTTTGTAACCTAATCTTGAAAGTAACATCTCCTCACTTCTGCTGTAGTCTGTTTGCCAGAAGTAAGCACTGGGTCCAGCCCACATTCCAGGGGAAAGGATCACACAAGGGCATGAATATCAGATGAGGTTTTTTAGAATATTTTAGACACTGCCTCCCACACAGGTTAATATACAAAGGTTTTTGTCATAGTTTTTTTTTTAATTTATAATAGAAAAAAATGGATAATCACATATACACAAAGAAACAAAGAAGCAATTTAAATGTTCCACAGCAGAAGTTGTTTTTAAATTGTGCTACATCCACATAGTGGTAGTATAATTGCATAATAATGATAATTTCCACCTTTTTTGAGTGTCAGTCATTTGCTAGGCCTTTGCTAGATAGTGTATAAATATTTCTGACCCTGACAACAACTATGTAAGGTGGTGGTGGTGATCCTCATTTTACAGATGAGAAAAACAGATGCCAGAGACAGAGTAGCTCATTGAATTCTCAGCACTGGAATGTCTTTATAGGGTTATCTGGCTTCAAAGCACTATGACCACACTGCCATTTAAGTGTGCTTATGAAGAATATTTAATGACATGAGGAAGGCTACAAAACTGTCTTTACAAAGTGATCCATGTGTGTGCACATTTTATTTACGTCTAGGGAAAAAAAGTCACAAGTGTTGTTTTTCAGTGGTAGAATAATAAAATATTAATTTTTTAAAAACTTTTATTTCATTCTAAATCTTCTACATTTTCCATGTATTCCCTTTATAATCATTTTTTAAAAATCAGTATGCTTTATAAAGTATTTCAGCTCTCTCTACTTCTGAGGAAAAATCACTGGCAAGACTTGTGCACAGTTGTATGTGAAATTGAAATTTTACTTGGTAATGATTCATTCCCTTTAATCTGCTCTTCTAGATTACTGATCTCTCTTTACCCAACTATCTGATGGCATCATCAGTTGGACTGCTTCCTACCCAGCTTCTGAATTCTTACTTGGGTACCACCCTGCGGACAATGGAAGATGTCATTGCAGAACAGAGTGTTAGTGGATATTTTGTTTTTTGTTTACAGGTGAGTTTAAGACCAAGGGTTGTCTTTTTTTTTAATTTTCTTTTTGTATGGCATTGCTCATTTAAACCTAACAGATTTCACTGAAAATAATATAAGAAGATTTTTCCTGTTATTTCAATTATACTTGATATTTTGACAATATTTACGTTTTTAATTGTGTGATTAGAGAGGTGAATAGAAGTCTATAGAACTGAATTGACACTTACTGAAAATTCTCTTTAAACAAACAAGGGAATGACATAAATAGAGTTCTTTTTGCATTGATTATTTTCAAAGTCATCACTAAATCAAATACTCTATTTTGAGTTAATGTGACATGTTGTTAAAAATGTTTCTGAAGATAATTTTAATAAGATTTTGTGGGATTGGGTTTTCATCTTAGTTACTGTGTCTTCAAATTATTGAACTCTTCTATTGATATTTTTTAAGGGTATTATACTGGGAATGTAAATTTTTTTCTAGGATCATTTGGTGTAGAACAAAATACTTTGTTTAGAAAGTGTTGTATAAAAAGTGTCTATTCCATTATAAATCCAAATAAGATTTGTGTAATGGATTATTAATACCATGCAAATTGTAATATAGTTTGGAGTACGTTCCATATTGGAGATTGATAAAAGAGGAAAACCTTGCTACATAGGCAGATTTATTCAGTGTCTTTCAATTGTGTACAGGAAGAGTTAAAAATTCATTTCTTTAGTTATGATATATTTCATTCCTGAGATTTACCAAAATATAAAATCACTGTAATTTTTGATGATTTAGTAAGATGATGACAATGATGATAGCTAACCTTTATTAAGTGCTTTATGTAGATAATTTAAGCTCATTTAATCACTACCGAAACCCTAGGAGGTACATACTTTTATTATCTCAAGCCAATTGTGTACATATCTTTCCAGTTCTGTGTCCAGAGATGTCAACATTGGTAGCTTGAAATTGATCCTGGTGTGGGGAGTATTTAGACCATGGAAAATAGCAAGAGCTCCAAATCAGGGCTCCCACCTCTGATCTCTAAGAGCTAGTTTATCACCACACCAGTGGATAGTAATTTGTCTAAGTCACAGCTGAAAGGCATAGAACAAGGATTTGAACCAGGGCAGTCAGCTCTAGAAACCATGCTCATAACCAATAGACTGTAGTCGACTGAGCAGATAATACTGAGATAGCTGATTTAACTTATTGGTCCCTTAACTTGCTAGTTTTAATTTATACTGTTATTGAATATATGGTATCATATTTCAAATTTACTGTTAGTGGCATTATTCTTGAGTTTTGAAGTACTATATTGTATTAAAAATACTATGGTAAATAAAGCCAGAGTTAATTTTCTTTGTGTTTATGCAGTACAAGTTTAGTAAACAAACTAAGGCCAGGAATATTTACATTGGATTATAAATAAAGCTCGTCAATAAAATGGCTTGCTTTAAGAAAAATTTGGAATATTTTTGATATTTGGGAGTCAATTTTTATTTTTCTTCACTATTTTATCTTCAGAGCTATATTTTTTTAGATAACCTGAATCTAGGTTTAGAGTTTTTATTATAATAGTTGGCTTATTGTTACTAATGTAGTATACTAATCACACATTAAGCTTTCTGTTATATCTATGTAATAATTTATGTTTATAATAATCCCTAAGTACTATAAGATTCTGACATACCATGCATTCTCAGATAGAGTTTTCTTAGTATATATTTTATGTTTTTCCAGTTTCCTGCAAATGAGTAATCCATTTGAAACATCTTTGTTTCCTTATGTTATGTTTGAGTAATTAGAATTTGTCATATTAGTAGCTTTCACAGGATTTTCTCTATTTGATACTTTATATTTCTATACATCCTAGTAAATTACTCAACTATAATCAGGGGAGTTACAGTAGAACAAGATAATTGATGTATTTATCAGTGGTGCTTTTAAAAATATAGAGTCTTCTTTTTTTCCAATAATTTCTTAGCCTTTTGTTTGAGCTGACAAATTTAAGCTTAGGATACAAGACAAGGGAAAAAGGCAGATATTTCTTAGCCCAGGCATTTATGAAAACAGTAACAACCACAACAAAAAAAAGTGAAGGCATATTTATGCCTCAGTTTGATTTATTGATGTTACTTAAAGTTTAGTTTATTTCAGAAAAGATTTAATGCAGTTCACAAAAGATATGTGGGAGAATAAAAAGAGAGAGAAAGGAAGTTATCTTGAAGGGGAAAATTAGCATAGGAAAAAAGGATGCAGCTTAGGTTAAAGTTAGTATAGTAAGTGTATTCATGAGGTTCATCATTTTTGCTAGAAATGAGGCACAGATTTGCCTTTCAGCTTTATAGCCACCTAAAGAGAATCCACAGTGTCTGTAAAATTAAAATAATACAAAATAGATGTTCAGAGGAAGCCACAACTATTTCTTGTATGGAAATCCAACTTAGATTCTGTGTCTGTGAATTCAGTTACTCTTTTCCATTCCCTATATTTTTCTGTGTACCCACCAGCCAGAACCCCAATCCTGGTAAATCCCAGTTTTGATCTGCGTTGCACCTGTTCTTTTGGGGAAGTCATACAGCCAAAGATTGGTAATATTTAATTCATGGTTACAAACTTCCAGCTGGTTTCTCAACACTGCCACATATTATAACTCTTTCTTTTGTTTTCCCACTCCCCCATTTTCCTCAGTGACTCCTTCAAACTTATCTTCACTCTCCTTGCAATTTCCACTCCTTTCCCTACTTCCCTCTTCATTCTCAACAGATTATCTCTCTTGCTTAACAGAACTCTTCAAATGGGAAACCCCTCAATTTCCATGTAAGAAATCTGCTAACCCTCTTTTGTTCTGCTCATACTCTCATCCTGCTTGACAGCTAACAGTGGAAGAGATGCCTTTCTGTATAAGGCTTGTCCTTCTACTTGTGTTTGATTCTTTCATTTTAATAAGGAAACTTTTTTAAACAGTTGTCTTTTTTTTCTTCTTCTTCTTTTTTTTTTAATGCTTCACTGGGCTGAGAAGGAGGGCATGTTGGGAAGAGTTAATACAAATTGCCAGGCCCTGGGGTCCACAAGGGCATCTGGGGAAGAGCCCATGTAAAGATGTAGCCAGTTCGCTCTTGCTGGGAGCCTGAAAGAGTTTTTCACTGGTCTAACCTTACTTTCTGTTGCCTTGCTGCATCCTTCCCTCAAACCGTCATCACTAACCTTGTCTAGAATCAGATGCACTTTCCGTTTCTCATCTAGCTTGACCTCTTAGCAACCTAAGATTCTGTTGACCATGCCTTTTTAAAACATTTTCTTCCCTTAGCTTCCTTGATGCCACTATCTTGAATGTTTTTTTGTTCTTGGCTGCTCATTTATTATCAGCCCCTCCTCATCTTTTCATCTCCAAATTGGTGGTCCTTAAGATTCTAGCCTAAGCTTTCTAGTCTCACTCAGAATTTTTCTTCTTAGCAAATTCAGTTACTGTGTTGGCTGCTATTATGCTTATTTATGTAAGGACCCCTAAACACATCTTCAGCTCAGCCTTATTTCCATAGCGTTAGACACATTCACTGAACAGCTTTGGATACTTAACAGGCACCTCAAATTCACCATTTCTTAAACAACTTAGTGTCTCATCCACATCCTCTCCAGTTAGTTCTCTAACTTTTCCCGTCTCTTTACACGGTGTCACCATCCACTGATTAAGTATCAAACTTAGGGTTTTCAATAAGTTAGTTTTGTTTTTTTTTAAGAGCTGACATGTCAGAGAACAAACACAAGATTTAAAGAGCCCCGTTTAAAATACCTAATTTGCTTAGAATTGTGTTGAGTAATGGGTACTCACTTAATGGTGCCCCCTTGCACAAGTTCAGAGTTCCCTGTCTACACTCACCCCTAGGATGCTCTGCCTCTGCCCTTTCCCCACCACCTCAACACTTGGATTTAGAATATATTTCCCATAAAACTGTTGAAATTATGAATAGGCTTAATTGAAACAATGGTATGTTTTAGGATAGCTCTGGTTAGAGCAGCGTTTGAAACTTGCTGGTACATTGAACACCTGCTCTAACCTTGTTTTGCTGAGAATATTTGCTCCAAACTCGAAAGAACTGATTTACAAATGAACCTTGGAATAAATACCATTTAAAAGATGTGGACTGCTTAGACATTCTTTTGAATTATATGTAGCATGTTAAAGCACAGAGGACTACAGCTTCCCGTTGGACAGTGGGAGAAGCCCACATGGTTTAAGGGACTTAACTGAAATCCCATCACTAGTGAGTGGCTAAACCGAGACTGGAACCTGACTTTCAGTTTGGTGCTTTTTCTAATATCCCTTTGACTGGCACTTTTTCCCTCATCATCATAGTTTCCTTTGTTTTTCCCTAAGTACAGACAATTTCATGTTCATAACCTTGTTGATTTCTTTGGAAGTTTATTGGCATTTCATTTTTTTAAAGTGGTTCTTAATATTTTTAATTTTGGCTGCATCAGGTAGTTCATTTGCAAATGGTAGTACTTTTCCCTAAGTGGGCTTAGAAATACCTGTGGACATTTATAGTCATGCAAAGATAAAATGCTACATTAATTACATTAATGTTTAATTATGTTAAAATTTAGCTAGCTGTTACCTCTATGGTAAACATTTTTTATTCCTTGAACGAAGCTTTTTGGTAAAAGAGACAAGTTTGACTTATCTCAAACTAACATCATTTATATGGACTAAAAGGGATGTATGCTGGCCTTGTGTTAACCTGATATCATATAATGGTTACCTACAGATTTGACTCTCCACTCCCAGTAGAAGCAGCCAAGGAAGAATAAATGACAACTGTGTGTAAATCATTTAAAAATCTGACCTGACTGTATTTGAGAAGCATCCTATTTGAAAAATTTCTGAGCCAAGTATTTGTTGAATTTATTTCTCCCTTTTCTCTTTGTAAACTATTGTTAACTGTAATGTTTTACTTTTATTCACAGATTATTGTAAGTATAGGCCTCATGTTTTATGTAGTTCATCGAGCTCAAGTGGAATTGAATGCAGCTATTGTAGCTTGTGAAATGGAACTGAAAACCTCTCTGGTTAAAGGCAATCAACCAAATACGAGTGGCTCTTCGTTCTACAACAAGAGGACCCTAACGTTTTCTGGAGGTGGAATCAATATTGTATGATTCTAACAAAATGTGTGACTGTCAAGAGCCAAGTGTGCTGTCCGAGGTCTAGTGGTCACCTCACTAGGGGACAGAGACAAGTTTTAATTGTATTACGGCACAAACAAAACTGACTAGTTTTTAAATTGCACAGTTTTTTTAAAGCAAGAATCATTTTCTGGGTATGTAAGTGCAAATGTAGATGCAATTTTGGCTGCACCTCTTTATCATTTATTATGCCCATAATGGCCTATAGGTTTGCACTTTAGTGTTTTTTCTTTGTTTTCTTTCTGGGTACTTATGAACAGAGAAATAACCTAAATATTTTTCTGCTTAGTGTCTTTATTTATAAAGTCTATGGATAGTTGCATTTTTCCTACTTAGAAAGATGGGTAAAAGTATGCAATCTGAAATGTATAATATTACTCTATGTTCTTTGCTTTGGTAGTCTTTCCAGAAAGGATAAACAGTGTGTTTTGTTTTGTTTTATTGTTTTAAGTGGGACCACTTTGCTTCCCTTTTCCTTACTAGTTAGAAAATAGACGTTAACTTTTGGTTGAATGTATTTTTGTAAGCATCACATTGTTGCAGGGCCATTTACACCTGTTCACACAAGCTTAAATCCTACATTGTGGGACTGAAGTGCTCTTAAGATACCTTTTTATTTTCACTGTGTAATATGCAAAAGGGAAATTAATGAGTAGTGGCTCAAATTAGAACTTCTGTTCTAATTCCATTACATTAGCTTTATCCTCGTTAGATCTTTCATCAAAGGGCTGTCGCATTGCAGTCTTACTAAAATATTTTATTGAAATAAAATTTTTTCCTTTTATATTTATAATTAGGCTTTGAAATAAAGATGCTGTTACTTTAAAATGATGGGTTTACCATCATTGAAGATGTCACTCAGGTGGCCTTGCTTGATCAAAAAGCCTTTTTAAAAATCCGAGCTTTAAAATCATGTTTATAATTCCATTGAAGTATATATGTATTTGTCCCCATAGTCTTCAGCTTTAAGACTATAAATATAATGTTAACTTAATACCCAAATCTGTATTATTTGCCCTACTATAGAGTAGATTTATTTTGTTTGTTTTTCCGTACTTGTTTTTGTCTGATAAGACTCAGGAATTCTGAAATGTGAAATTAAGTCTCTCAACTCTCTCTCTCATGGCATGAATTGAGTGTATTTATAAATAGCACTTATGAGTATAGCATACAGTAATTCGGCATATGATTCATATGACATAGGTATTATTCATTTATCACCTTATAATTTTAAAATAGTTTAATTGTACTTAGTGATTAGTTTTTTTACAATTTAGATTATAGATAGGAATGCAGATTTTCTGGTAGGTATATCTTTTTTGGCTATGAAGATCCCACCTTATCAGAGACCTTCCATTTGCCTTTTCATTAGGGTAAAACCTTAGCCCTGATTTCATAAAGTGTGAAAGAATTCTTTGGAAGCAGATTATTCTAGTCTTATGCTGGAGATGCATTTGATCATTTTAATGGATACTTTTTTGCCCTGTTGGAGGTATAATTGTTTTCCTTTCTTTCATAATACATAAGTTTTCTTACCTTTGAGTAACAGTGAAGTTCATTTATATGTCCATACCAAGAAGACCTCAGTGCAAATGATGAGAGGTACCTGGGTTTATAGCACTTAATTGGCCTCCAAATCCTTCCTGTTATTGGTAGGAAAAAATATAGTATTGGAATGTTCTTGTTCTTTTTTGAATCCTGATTACTTGTTTAGCTGTTTTTGGTGTTTTTTTAGAATGATTTTCGTTTCATAATCCCAATGAATAATACGTTTGATTTATTCTTTTCTGTCTAAGTTGACAATATTTTTCTTGCGCTTCTTGTTTGTTGGTTAGTTTTTGTTAAAGGAGTCATTAATTTAAGATCGCTACTTTCATACTTGTGTTATACTTCATGTATTTTGAAGTGCATTTATTTACTTAGCATTTTATAACTTGAATAATTTCACCAAATGAATACCTTTTGGTAGTTTGTAATGAGTTCTTCCAATTGTTGCATTTTGCTTGGTACTTAAAATAAATATGTAAAGCTAAAAGAGAAATAATTTTTCTGTATTCTGCCAATCATAATTTTATATAATAAAATCATCCATTTTTACTTAAAATAGTATGGATTTACTATTTCTAAGATACTGAAGCTGCAGTTTTCCTTTTCTTCATCATTCCAGCCTCCAAGTAAACAACAATCCGTGCTATTTGATAGCTCAGTTGAGTTGCTGGGTCTTTAGATGTGCTAACTGTAAATTGTATAAAGCATTGCCATGCCTTGTTCACTTCATCTTCAACCCTGTATCCCAGATTTATGGCAGCAGTACATTTCTACAGAATCCTTTCATGTTGCCCAGATATTGCCTCCAGTCATAAAGTATATATTTATAAAATAGATGTTTTGGATTTCTCAGACTGTTTAGGTGCAATGTAAAGTAGCTTTATGCACAGTTTAAAAGGCATACAATATACCTAATTTCCAAATATGAGGAAAAATATGTTCTATTTTTAATTCTTTGGGCCTTTCCCTAAGTTTTCCACAGTTTGTGGTTTATTGTGATTGATTTTGTTTACTCTTTGCCAAATTTTGTCATGTAAATTATTTTAAACATCTTTTTAAAAACATATACATAATAATTTAGTAAGTGTTTTCATCTCTGTTCTTATTTGATCATCTGATTTGTGAAATAACTTGAAATCTGTACTCTTTGGTTTGTGAAAATAGTAGAACAACATCTCTGTTATTAGAATGTGTGATTTGAGTTTATGTTCAGAATTGACCGTGTGGGTTTGTTCAGAGTCAGCCGTACTTTCATGTTATCACTTTGTAACCAGTGGCAAACCTTTCTAAAATGGCTTTTCCCTGATAGGGTCAAGTATATGACTAGAAAACATTTCCTCCTTGAGAAGCTATTATTAAGTTCAGTAGTTACTGTTATTTACCTTTGCTGTAACTGAGCTACGTGGTTTAGCTACAAGCATATCCCAGCATTTCTGCGTTTTTAATATGCAGTGCTGATTTGGAGTATTCTTGGGAAAGGTGCTATGGCTTACATATGTCAATATTTGTTGGCTGTGGGACTTTCTTTAGAGTCACTAGGTATTTCTTTAGAAAGTCACTAGGTATGTGCCAGGTTGATGCAGGTAAATCCTTAGATGCATGATAAATCTATGCCATTCAAAACGAGCGACATTTGCAGAGAAAAAGAGAGGTTTATGTGGACCTCAGGAAGAACGATACTGACCTAGGTTGATGACCTCGGTGATGGAATTTTATTTCAGACAGAGGCCACTCACTGAATCATAATGATGGTCAGAATGACACTATCTGGTCTTTAGATTTTACATTGCTGATTTCTGTTATAATAAACTATTTAACATATAATTTTCTTAAAGGTCATCTCTTTAAGCTGAACGGCCTTTAAAGAAGGGAGAGGAATCACCACAGGATATTTAAAACTCCAGACTTCCAGTAACCTCACATACTGAACAGAAAACTGTTAACTTACTCCACAACTAAATTACGATTTGGTAATTCTGAATTGCAAAGTGATTGCTGCTAACTATTTTCTAAGGTAACTGCAGATTAAAAATAGATAATTCTAAAGGTGAATCAGTAAAATCTCTTGATAATTGGTATCCTAGATCACTTGTGTGCCTGAGAAAATAAAAGGTAATGTTTTATTTCCCTTCTCTTTCTTTCTTTCTATAATGTACTGGATAGAGAGACATGTTCCATGGGAGGAAGTGATTCTGGAAGAAGGGAGGACATGCTCCTAAAAATGGGAATGCTGGTAATTGACCCTAGAAGGGGGTGGTTATGGTTATAGCAGAGGCCCTATGGGAAAGTGATTCTGTCTTATGTTGGCAGTTACTCTTCAGTTTTTTTTTTTGTTTTTTCCTAATACCCCTAAGGCATGAATTACCACTCAAACAATTGTTGGTCATTTGTCCCAAGCTGCAGTAATGTGTATGATGCCGTTCATAATGTCAAAAGACTTAACCATTCTAATTTCCTGTTGGTCTCTACTCTGTTTCCTTGAGAGCACATTCCAGCTGCCATAAAATTTTCATTTTAACACCTAGAATAATGTTTGTCCTTGTTTATTTATAGAAGATCCAATACTGTCATGTGTACACCTTTTTTAGCCATTTTGGGTCAAAATTGTTTGCCAGAACATGAAATAGGCCAAAGGGGGCAAACGCATGTTGCAGACTGCTTTCAGCTAGGGTGGTGCAGTGGTGCACTCACTGGATAAGGGTGTTGGCGGTGCGGTGTACTCATTACCCAAGATTGCATAGTAATTTCTGCATGCTTGCCCTGCTTAGATGAGGGTGCCTGTTGGCAATCTGGTGTAGGGGGAAACATATTTTAATAGTATAATGTTTTAATTAAATATTGAACATTTTTAGGAGTAGCGTTTTTAGGAGTAGCATGGTGGTGTTAAGGTATGTGTTGTGGCAAATTTAATCTTTTTGCCATGTTTCAACAAAGTTGATTGTCCAAATTGACTAATTACTGATATTACTGTCTTTTTTGTGACTGATATTCTGTAGGGAAACCTCTAGATGAAAGGCTTAAAACTCAGAAAATATGCAGAGAAGTTGAATAGACAAGAGAGAGTAGAATATGTATTGAATCCAAAAAGGATAATTTGAAAATTGCAAAATTCTTAGAGTAGGTATACAATTACAGTGGTATGTTTTAATGTAAGTATGCATATCCTAGGGTGTATAAAATTCTTGACTGCTTTAAAGTAACAGAAGCCAAGAGGGCCTTCTTTGATTCTGTCTTTGTTAGTTTTAAAGCCGTTTTCAGTAGAAATGTTTTGAAGCATGCCCTGTCTCATACTCATCATCTCTTACAGTCCTGCACTAAGTTGAGCTCAGCAGGCAGGACAGGGAACTGAAGAGTTTTTCACTAAGGTTTTTCAGTTCATTACTCTGATTTTAAGTTAATTAACTGTTTTTGTGTCATCACATTTCTACTTTAAATATACAGTAGAACAACTTTGCTTGGTATTAAGTTGTTAGATGGACTTGGAACAGAGTCTGGGAATGTCAAACCTGAGAGCACTTTCCTGCCCTCTACTTGGCTGCTGGGATCTACAGACTGCTGGGTGCAGACGAGGCCTTGCTTTCTAGTGGGGGTCTTGGCAGAGAATACCAGAGCAGGGGTTTCTCCTACATGGACTAGCAAATGCTGGGAGGAAACGCTAGAGAGCTGCAGATTTGGGGAGACTTTAACTTTGAAATCTGTGGGCTTCTCAACGGAAGTTTGCTATTGGCCCCACCAAAATACGTCATTTCTCCCTCACCTCCAAGAGGCTGAAAGGAGCTGACTGGTCTGAGTGTTCCCTGCAGCCTGAGGAGGTCGGAATTCAAGAAGACCATATACAGAGAAGTTTTCCCCAACCTTCCTCCAAGGAATTCACAGTCTGTCTGCTTCACATTCCACCACTGGCATTTGTGATATCTTGTATTAAATGTAGCATTGTTCTTAGTGTCAACTGGAAACGAAGTGAGCACAGTTCATAGGGAGTGGCTGAATAAATTATGGTACATCTATAACATGGGAGGCTGAGTAGCCATCAGAAAGGGAGAAGTAGATGTATCCAGTAAATTAGATGTATCCAGTAAATTAGAGGGATTTCCAGGAAGTATTTTGTGAAGAAAACGAGACGCGTAAAACTAAGTACAAATACTGCATTTTTGAAAAAACATCCTCTCTCTCTTTTCTACGCATGAGTTTAAGTGAGTTTCTATATGTGAGTTTGTGTTCATGTGAATACATGCATCCCCCCATGTAGGATTAAATAAATAGGGAGAAAAATGTGGAAGGAAACCTACTAGTTTAAGGTGGATTACTTTGGTGGTGGTGGAAAGCTGGGGTAGGAGACTAATGGAGATGGAATGAAAGGGAGAGAGAGAGATTGAAGGTATTAAAGCCAACAAGGAAAGGGAAAATATGGACTCTTTTTTTTTAAAAAAAGGTGAAAGGGACCTATGTTCCATTGTTTGGCATGGTAGAAGTCATCCTCTTCTTAAAACATCCCAGTTGATAGTCATTCTGCTCAAGACTTGAAGTAATATAGTGCAGTGTTGAAGAGTGCCATCTCTTAAGGCCAACTGCCAGCATTCAAATCCTATTGCCACCGCTTCTGGGATACATGATCTCGAGGAGTTACTTCTTTCTGTGCTTCAGTTTCCTCACCTGGATAATAGCCTACCTTGTCGGGTAATTGCGAGAATTAAAGAAGTTAATACATGTTAAGTGCTGAGAGTAATACCTGGTAGGTAGTAAGTACACAATCAACATTAGCTATTATTACCAGAAACCAACCTCTTAGGAGTTGAGAAACACTTTCAGTATTTGAATGGGTATTTGGCAGACTACATTGAGTCGATCATTTATGGTCCAGGGTAGGACAGAGTATTAAAATTCTTACCCAACTCCTATCTTTACAGAGTACACCGTGAAGTTGGAGAGGCAACATATATACAAAATGACAACTACACAATATGTACAGGGTAAAATCCCAATGTAAAAATTACTATAGCACAAACTGAGTAGTGAAAGGAGTACTTAGATCCTTGAATTTGGGTGGAGGTTGGGGAAGTTTTCTGAAGAAGATACATTTTTAACTTGTGTTTTGCAGGTAGGGACTCTAAAGTGCATGGTACTCAAAGGGGTCTCTGACTGAAAAAGACTAAGAAACATTGAGATAAAAGATGAAAGCTGTGCAAGCAAATAGGAACCTTATCCCTTTCCTTATGTCATTTGAATTGGTGCATTGGTAGATTTGTGCCTCTACTCCACATCTCATATACTCTGTTCATATCTATGAACCTTGTGGCCTTCTAAATGCTGGGAAAGCAAATTTATCCAAGAAATGCTGTAACTTATCCTACTTTATACTATTTGAGGGGCTTTCTTTTGAAACACGAAGGATTCTGCAGTCTAGTAAATTTTCCCCCAGTTGACTACTTCCTCCACCAGTGGCTCTTTTAATTTTTTAAGCCAACACATAACTTAGACTTGTTATTTTTGAATTCATATCTTATGAATTATCCAAGTTATTTCCTTCATGAACAATTGATTTTAAGTTTATTGCATTGTGGTTTGTGATGCCAAAATAATTCATCCCTTATATTAGTTAGAAAGTAAGATTTGAATTTTCTGAATTTCCGTTCAGTCAGTCATTTTTTCAGGAAATATTTAAAGAAATGTAACTAGATATCAGACTTTGCTAGGCTTTGAAGTTACAGAGACAGGAATAATACTAGAAGAACTCATCTAGTGGGAAAGGGAGAAAAGTGAAGGAACAATGGCAATAAAATGTGATCAGGTCCATGGTAAAGGTTATAGAAGCAGAGGGATAGGTTAGGAGTTGGGTCAGGGACAGAGAGGACTAGGGGGTGGGAGAGATGAACCAAGGTGGGAAAGTATTCCAGTTACTGATAACTGAATTGAGTTTGAAAGGATAAATGCAAATTGTCCAAAGGAGGCGGAGAAAGAAGGGCATTCCAAAGACAGAAGCACAAGAGAGCATGGCAAATAGTTCAGTGCAGCTAGAACGTAAAGAGCAAGTGGGGAATATTGAATTAAGGCTGGAGATTTACATATAGGTGTGTGTGTGTGTTGTTATACCCGCATATATATCACATGAATAGATTTCTATAGAATATTAAGAAATTGGGATTTTATATTTGTGAATGAGGAGATATTGAAGTGGTAGTTAAGTCTGCATTTTACATGACGTTCATACCAGTTTGGAGGAGTTGAAGAGTCAAGACTACCAGTTCGAAGACTGATGTGGGGTGAAATAATGAAGGCCATTAATAAGATATAAAAATAAAAGTGGGAAAGGGTTATCTTTGAGAGACACAGAAAACAAGTTTGGTGAGCATAGGATGAGGATGTCAAAAAGAGGGAAGAGGCTGTGGTGGCCCCTCAGGTTCTGGTGGTGGTGGTGACGTAAGAATGAACAGTTTGGAGGCAGAGCAGATGATACTGAGTTTTAAATGTCTATGAGGCATGGAGATCAGAAGACACTGCTCAAGTGGATATATGGATCTGAAACTCAAGAAGAATTATGGGCTGAGGATAGAGGTTTGTAAATTATCAACCTACATAGGTGGTATTTGAAGCTTTTGGTGTGGATTTGGTACCAAGTGAGTAGATGGTGGCTAAGAATAGGACAGGTACGAGAAGAGGATCCTTCAGAGGAGACTGATCAAAAGCAGCCAGAGAGAAGAGCATCTAGGAGAGGGAGAGTTATAAGCAGTGGAAGGGGAAAGTTTTGAGAAATGGGATGCTGTTAAATACTACGGAGAAGCCAAACAGGTTCAAGACTTAAAAGTGTTCATTGAGTTTGTCAATTAGGCTATCATTGGTAGCTTGGTGGCAGTAATTACAAGCAAGTAGGGGGCATGCAAGCCTTATGGGAGTGTATTGAGAGGTGAATGAGAGACTAGGAAATAGAGACTGAAATGAAGACCACCCTCAAAAAACCTAGGCAGTTGGGGGCCATCCTGGTGGTGCAGCGGCTGTTTGCTCGTTCCGCTTTGGCGGCCTGGGTTCGCCGGTTCGGATCCCCGATGTGGACCTTGCACCACTTGTCAAGCCATGCTGTGGCGGGCATCCCACATATAAAGTAGAGGAGGATGGGCACAGATGTTAGCTCAGGGCCAGTCTTCCTCAGCAAACACTGCAGAATTGGCAGCAGGTGTTAGCTCAGGGTTACTCTTCCTCAAAAAAAAAAAAAAGAAGAAAACTTGGCAGTGGGAGCATGGAAGATTAAAATAACCATTGAAAATAGTTAGAAAAGGACCTGCTTTTCAAAGAGATTCACATTTCTTTACCCTTTACTTTAAATTTTGCATCACTTTTATAGTTTTTTACATTAATTGTTATTTAACATTTTTAAAAAGTCAGGCTATGAATTAAAGAGGAGAATGCAGGAGCTGGGGAGTGAATGGGCAAAAGTAAAGGAGGAGGTAGGACTGTGGTTCTCTCACATTAAAGTCACCTGGGCAACCTTACCACCTAATCATAATCTCTGCAGGTTGGGCCTAGGCACTGACATTTATGTAAGAGCTCCAGGTAATTCTGATGCTCACAGAGGGTTGAAAACTGAGGAAAGATGCATGTGTCTGAAGCCTACTTAAATACTGGGGAAAATGAGCCAGCTATAATTTATATTTAGTATAACTTATTGATATGAGATAGGCTTAGCTTGTATCCGAAGATACTGATATTATAAAAGTAAATAAATGACTAGCCTGGGAGTTGAGACCTAATGCATTTTATTTCTGAATGTTGCCAATTAGCTATACAATTTTGTGCAAGTCGAAGAGTTTCCACATGTGTAAGTATGAGGACTGTGATCCTTTCCCTAAGGACTATTTCAGTCTCAATTTCGTATGTTTTCATCTCCTTCTTGAGCAGAATCATGGCTCTCTAGAATAAATATCTAATTTGTACCTGCAGTTAAATATAATTTCAACCCTAACTAATCTTAGGATGATTCCTTAACTTTTTTTTCTTCCATCTCTGAAATAAGAATATCAAAAGGTTCCCAGGATGAAGCACATTCTTAGAGAACTGCAGTGCTTAGAAGAGACTCATACTGTGTTATCCTCTATCCTCGATATTTATACTCCAGATTTTAAAATTAGTTTGTTCAATTTTGGAAAAACATGTTTTAAAGCTAGAAGGAATGAAGAACCATCTAATTCAGCCTCACCATGTTGAAAGAGGAGGGCATTTCCTTAGAATCGGAGAAAGTTAGCAGCAGAACATCTTACTTCCCCATCCTGTGCCTTCTATACTAGCCAACTCTATGGCAGATGGGAGGCCTACATAAATTGTGCCACAAAAGCATCCAGCTTGCCTTCGTGATACGGGAGGCCTCAGAACACGAGGTCTGGGAACCATCACCCTGAGTCAGTGAAAGTTTGACTCCACATCCACCAAAACTTGACAGAATTTGATTAAGACTGAATTTTAAACTAACTTTGAAAATATCAAAGCATAGAAAATTGCATATATAATGATAAATAAATAGATAGATTGAAGCTTATAGGAAATATGTATCTCCCAATCCCTTAGTTTCAAATCTTGGCCATTGAGATCAAGAAGAATGAATTTTAGGGTATTTAGTTTAGATAGGGACACTCAGAAGAAAGTTTGTTACGTGTCAAAGTAGATATAGTTTCAACCCAGCAAAAGAATCAAAATCTTTAGAAATACAGAGACACGTGTGAAAAATAATTGAAGGAAAGAGGAAAATTATTCCTAAGTAGCAGTTGCAAGCATTGTCATATCTCCTCCTGTCTGTGTGTAGGGCATTAGGTCAGGTATAAGATAATTTCTGCTCCAGCATTAGTCTCAAGCTTAAGAAATGAGAATGAAAGTCTAGAGATGCATATGTTCATAAAACGCTTTTATGGTTTAATATACGCAGTAAACCGTTAGGAGCAGATATTGTCAACTGAACATTTCAGACTTAGCCTGTGGAACTTTTGTACTTACTAATTTGATAGACAAAATTAGAGCCAAATAGGATTTATTGAAAATGGTCAAGAAGAACAATTTTAGTTATAGAAAAATTGAAATGTTTATAGAAACTACTTTGCAAGTCATTTAACCTGAAATTCTGAATTATGTGTTTAATGAGTTGACTGTGAAGGAAGGAGAGTGAAGCTTAGTTGACTTCTGATTCAATTTTTGTACTTTATCCCCCGAAAAAGTTATGATAAATGGGGATATATGCAAAGCACGTAACCCATAATAGACACAAGATGTGAATTCCTTCCCTCATTGTTCGCCTTTCTTTCAGTGACAGATTTAATTACCATTTCTGCAGGCCACACTGTATGGAGGGTCCAGGGGAAAAAGGGAGGCCCAGATATTCTCACTGAGGTATGAGAGGCCAAATAATTTAAAATTACAGTATGTCTCTGTCGGGTGTCAGAGTTACTCTTGGCTTATAAGTTAAGAATTAGCCTATTTAGATGCAGCTGTTTCCACTTAATACCACATGAGTACACTGAATTTCTTGGCTCGATACTTCAGACAGATGAGCTGAAAACTGTCCATGTTGATTTAAGTCGAAGTGAAAGTTTAACCTCAGGATTGATAAAACTTTGTCATTTTGTAATCAAATGAGAAACACCTTTCTCATTATGACATACTCTGTTTCATGTTACCGTTCAAAATAAAAAAAAGAATGTTCTACTGTTTTTCTTACAGAAATAGTAATGCATTTATCCTTTCACCTGTTCTAACTTCAGCAGGGAAGGAGTGAGCAGGACTGTACCCTTCTCGTAAGATGAAAGAGGCAGTTCGTCCCATTGTCAAATCGCACATCGAATTCTCTCAAATTATCCTATCAATTTCATCTCCTTACAATAATTATTCCAAAGTATTGTTCTTGTTTTTTAATTTAACAAAATGATGCAAAGATTATCTGCAATTGGAAATTTGTGAAAATGTCCATGAAAGTTTTGGAAAAAAAATGTAATAAAGGAGGACTTTCTGTACCAAAATTTAATGGGTAAAGTCATTGAAATCAGAAGAAAGAGATTAATGGAACAGAAGACAAAGTGTACAATCAGACCCATGTGTGCATAAGAATATATTGTGTAAAGAAGGTGATATCACTAAATAGCAATGGGAAAACAAGCTATCTTTTGAAAAGTTAAAGGTGAATTAAAGATTTCAAGTGCAAAAATTGAATTACAAGGTGGCTCCCCCAAGAATGAAGGATAAATTTAAAATTTTTAACTTCAAAAATAACCCAAGCCTTAGTTCCATCTCCCTGAAATACTTTTTATTCAACTATTATCCTATACATATTGTTTAATAAAGAAATGTGTGTTCATTATATTTTATGTTCCATTTTGTTTAATATTGTTATGATCTTTCTTAGGCCTATGTAGTATTTCTAGTTATAATTTTAATGGTTATTTTAACACATCTTTTTTGCAGGTATACACAATTCACTGCTAACAGTTTAGTGTAAAGCCTTTTGGAGTTTTTTCCCTTTATTTACAAATATGTATCTAAATATGTGTTTGTTTGTATTTGCCTCACAGACAAAAATGCAGACATTCTCTATATACTATGATTCTTCCTAATTTATTTTTCTGTACACAATGTATTTTGGAAAGAAAATGACCTTTAGAATCACATTGTCTTATTGTGAAATTCAAACAAAAGGCCTGCTACAATTTTTTATTAGGAAGTCAAATTGTAAAGAAATCATTTTTAGTAAATTAATTTCTCGGCTGCATTTAAAAACCTTTCTATTTTACGTTATTTTTTTAAAGAATATACTGTTGCATATTTTTATTTTTACCTGAGATTCTACTTACTTTGATTGCTTAATTTATGCCATTTGCAAGTATTGTTATAATTTTGCCTTGTAATTTAAAATTTTATACTTCTCTCTCCTTTTTCTGTTATGGTGTCACTTGTATGATATGCATTATGTTTTCAATAATATTTTAATAAAGTTTGAAGGTAAATATCCTATTTATAACATTGTTTATAAATGAGTTAAGGCAATTCACAAACACTCAGAATACCGCAAGATTCAGTTTATGACCATCTAATCAAACATCTTGTAGTTTTGTTTCCTGTTAAGGCAAGAAAAATAGTTTTATGCTGTTTGGTCATGTTTTCTGTTCCCTCATTCTTCATCATTAGTTAAATCAGAAAGTCTTTTTTTTGTCTTTGTTTGTTTTATTTTATTTTAACTGTTTTAGTACTCATAATAATTAGTAGTATCCTTGTCTTTCTAGAGTATTCATAATTACTACTGTTCTATCAGTAATTATATAAATTTCTAGTAATCATGAAGTTTTTATTCATTATTCAACTTCACAATACTTATCCAAAATACTGAACCACCTCTATTTATCCCTGTCCACAGAGTTCTCTTGAGTCTTCTGGAGATCTTTAGGAAAGCTTATACTTGGGTACTAAATATTGCAGATCTAAAAATGTTTTTTCTGTACTTTTATGCACACCTGATAGCTAGATTAAACAAAGTAATCTTTGACTACATACTTTTCTTTTTTAATTCACCTTTTTATTTTGAAATAATTGAAAATTCACATGTAGTTGTAAGAAATAATACAGAGAGATCTCGTGTACTCTTTACCAGTTTCTCCCAACGGTAATATCTTGCAAAACTAAAGCACAGTATCACAGCCAGGATGTAGACACTGACACAGTTGAGATACGGAACATTTCCATACCTCAAGGAAGGACCCCTCATGTTGTCCTTTTGTAGCTACACTCACTTCCCTCCTGCTCTCACCTCCTCCTTTACCCCTGGTAACCACTAATCTGTTCTTCATTTTTGTCCTTTCAAGAGTGTTATGAAAATGTATCACACAAGATGTAACCTTTGGAGATTGGCTTTTTTCACTCAGTGTACTTCTCTAGAGATACATCCAGAATGTTGGATATATCAAGTTTCTTCTGTGTTTTTTCCCTAAAAGTTTTATAGTTTTATGGTTAAAGTCAGTGATTCATCCTTGACATCTAATTATTTCCCAAGACATGTTTTTATCTTGGTTTCTGCTTGTTGATTTTCTTCTTTATTTTCTCCCTGACAGGATGAGTTTTCAACTCCAATCATATTCCCTAATATATTGAAAGGCATCTTTCTATTTTTTATGAATTTTTTAGCACTTCTGTTATTCATAGGTTTATGTCTATATCTTTTCTTTTCATTGCTGCATATCCTGCTCCTAGAACAACACCTGGCACATGGTAGGTGCTGTATGATTGCTTGCTAAATGATTAAATAAATGAATATCTTTCACGTTTCCCAGATTATCCGGCATTTTCCTTCTCTGTTATTTTCCCCTGTATTTTATATTTCTCCCTTAGGTTTATATACTATTTTGTTAAATTCATTTTGATAGATTGGACTATGTATTCCAATGATGATGATAACTTGTTTCAAAGACCTTGGTGTTTCTAAAGTATTTTAAGATGGAGTGCAACAGTGTCCCAGAGGAAGGCCAAGGAAGGAGCACAAAGTCTAGTGGTGACCTAATGAAGTCATGAGTTTGGTTTTGTACATGAAGACTAGAAATAAACAAACCCGTTGTGTATCATGGAAGCCATGTTTCTCACTGTAATAGAAAGGAGTTGCAAATATGGAAAGCAAGAAAGCTAGAATGAATCCTTTGACACTGGATTAGAATTTTGGTTTCTTGATTTTTCTAGATAGAGATATAAATACGAAAATATATATTTATATAAATATATATACACACGTGTGTGTGTGTACACATATGTTGTATATGCATGTAGATTTTTGTGTGTGTCTCTGTTCACTGAGAGGGCTTGGGAGTAATGACACTCAATAATAATGCAAACATCTAGTGCTCAAATCTTGGTTTCAAAATGCCATTCTCTGCTAAAAGGAACCAGTGCTCCTTGGAGAAATGGCTAATTGTAAAGCTGGGGCAAGGAAAATACAAGCTGAGCCTGGGTTTTTTGTATTAAAGGAAAGAAGGTGCTCAAAGACTGATAGAACACCTTAAAAAAAACAACACTAAACTAAAACCAGAAGCCACCTTGAAGGGACTCTTGCTGGCCAAATGTGGGACAATTTGAGCACCAACGTAATGATGATAATGTCATAACCCATCGATAAAATAGGAATATATGAGTCCATCCTGAAAAAAAAATTAGTAAATAAATGGAAAAAGAGAAAGCTCTACTTTATAGCGTAGCGCCAACTAATAAATCTAGAAGAAATGATGGAAATAGAAAATCACTATTCAGCAACTGCCATACTTATAGTGGAGAAATCTGGCTGGCACCACCTTTAATCAAGTGCACGTCACCAGAAATGGTACCATCAAAATTGTATTCCACCTGTGTGGTGGCCATGGCGGTCCCCTGCTGAGATCTCCTTGGAGAGAACGTGCTGTGGAGACCATGCTTGGCTGACACTTCCAGATGCTGTCCCCAAGAATGCTGAGGTCACGCTTCTCCTAGGCTGCTCTTAACCAATAACTGAGCATGGTGAGGGTACTTGTGCCTGTAATTCCTGCTTGATATGGTATTCTTTTACAGGAAACATTTTATTGGGGGCACCCTATCAGTCCGTCTGAGGTTTCTCAGAATGACACTGCAGTCTGAGGTTCTTCCTTCATTCTCTCCTTTGACAGGTCTAAAGGCTCTCTCTGCCAAGTCCTGCTTCTTCCCCTTTATTCTTCACAGGCGTTTCTCCCAATAAATGTCTTTTGTTGTTTAATCCAACTTGGCATCTGTATCTTGGAAGACCTGAACCGGCACAATCTGATATGATGCAATGAGGAAAAAAAAAAAGCATCGCTTCTGTGATACTTCTGCCAAAAATGTGTAATCTGAATCTCTTCATGGGGAAACACCAGACAAACCCAAACCGAGGCACCTCATACAAAACAACTGCCCTGTAGTCTTCAAAAGTATCAAGATTATGATAATAAAAACTGAAAAACTGTTCCAGGTTGAAGGAGTCTAAAGGGACAAGACAACTAAATGCAGTCTGTCATCCTGGATTGAATCTTTTGGTCACAAAGGACATTATTAAGATAGTTGGAGAACTTGAACTGATTCTTTGTATTAGATGGTAATAACAGTCGTGATGGCAGGAGAGAAAATACTCATTGAAGAATTCAGGGATAATGAATGAATCATCCTGTCCGAAACTGGGTTCAGAAAGATAAAGTTCTTTGCACCATTCCTGCAATTTTCCTGTAAATTTGAAATTCTTACTTTTCAAAAAATAAACCTGATGGAATATGGAGAATGGATTGGAAGAGGCCAAGAAGAAAAGTCTGTAGACAAGTTGGAAGGCTATAGCAGGTGTCCAAATAGGAAAGAGTGGGCCAGCAGGTTTGGCAAGCAAAGATAGATTCAAGGTAAATTTAAGTCATAGAATTAATAGGACTCACTAATGAATTGGATATGGGAGATAAGAAAAGGGGTTATTAAAGGATTTTTTGTTTCTGGCTTTAGCAACTGAGTGGAGGCTAACCGTTCAATGTAGCAAGGAAGACTGAGGGGATAATAACTTTGGAAAGAAATTCAAGACTTCTGTTTTAGGCATGTTGTAACTGAGAAGCCTAGTATTACATTTACACATCAATGAGAAGAGGAAGAGCAGCTAAGGAGACCAATTCTGATGGAACAAATTTAAATAATTACTCATCTATCTCAGACTTCTAAAATGGATTGTAGGTAAGATTCTGCGTGTTTCTCCAAGAGCAAGGCAAGCCAGAGTGCTGTTTGTCAGCTCCTCTCTCAGGTAGTGTTTATACTCTAATTTTCCCTCAGGCTATGTGAGCTGACTATTCCTCCCTTTCAGCATCATCCTCCCTAGTCATAGCGGCTTAAGATATGATGAGCTCTACATCTGCTTTTAAATTTGCACATGCAATAGACTCACTCCTTATAAAAACTTTGGGAATTACTCTGTTTCTCCTGGGGCTCATTAGAAGCTTCCTAGAGTTAACAAACAGGTAAGCAACCATTTCCACTGCATACATAAGAGGGAGAAGACTACTCTCATTTTCAGTTCACTATGAGTGTAATCATCAAAGGGAATTGTGGATGAGAGTTTTCTTAAGAAATACATTTAGTTTGAGGCTGCTTAATTATTCTTTCACAAAACATTTTTAAGATTTTTAGCTCTGATCTATCTCTGAAAGATACAAAACTTACATGAATTGATTTTATATATTTTACATGTTTGCTGTTACACAGTTCAATAAAAATAGCTAACTTTCTGTAGACAAAGAGAGATAAAGAGAAAAGGCAGGCCCTTTTGGGTACCCCAGTAGCAGGTGAGTCAGAAAGCAAAAACAAAACTAAATGGACATAAGAACAATTCTTCCTGGGATCAGAAAAAATGGGTGATCTTGATGACATTTCAGCGGGGAGATTTCTAGATGTCACAAATATTTATGGTGACTCCAAGGAATCTATTCCAGTGTCCCGTAGATCATGTACTTTGTATATCCCTACTCAAGATTGTCTTGTACCGTCGCTCTTGAGAAAGCTGATGCTGAAAGACTTGAAGAATCTTACTTGATGTCTGTTTAACAGAAAGAGTTATATCTCAGCTTTGTCATTCACTGGGAGAGGCTTCACTGAATGGACTTTGGCCTTGACTTTTCCCTAGATTCTCCTTCTCTTTCCTCACATTTTATGAGCATAGCTAGCATTCTTGGCTCCTAACCCTCCGAAATGCTAAGAGTGAAATTAGTAGTTGTAGAGTATTGAGTTGCTTGAATGGTATTCACCATGTCACAGAGTGCAAAAGGGGCCAACTGGAGAGTCTCTCTTCCTTGTCTCTAGCCTGTTCCCCATTGCTTTTCTTCTCTTTCCCAGAGTAGAACGGGGACCCAGATGAGGGCTCGGCTGAAGCAGATATATGGAAATAAAATGTTTCACAGTCATAGATTCCTGCTAACGTACATTTCATTCTCTGACTTCAACACCCTTGCTCTCTCAGATGCATTTATCTTTTTCTCTGTCTTGTTCATCATGGTGTTGCCAGCACCTAGAACAGTGCTTAGCACCTAATAGATACATTATAAATATTTGTTGAATGTGACTGGCTTACTTTAGTGAATTTAATAAATAATCAAAATACTGACTTCAAATCATTTTTCACTTCTTATGTGTGATATAAATGCCAGGGAATATAATTTAACATAATTATGTTATACCAAAGGAACTTTCTGTTTCTGAATCACTGAAAACAAGAACATTTGATTTCTTATGAATTTATTAGAAACTTCCTGAATATTTTTATGAGTTCATTAAGAGATATCAGATAGCTCAGTGTAATGAATATGGTTATTAAAGTTTAGAAATTAGTTTTATTACTTTACTTTCAATAGTTCAAATGTTTATATTTTTAAAATCTACTTTTATGTTATAAACTTTCATAAAAATGAGGTAATTTATTGATTAATTGTATTTGTGTATGTGTGTGTGTGCATAAGAAAATGAGTGAATGCACCATTTGTGTCCTTTGCTCAGGTTTTCTAATATGGTGCTTATCTTTTTCTCATTCATATGCAATTGCAATATCCTAACCCTTTGATATTTGAATAAGTATTTTTCATGATTTGTTTTAATTTTATTAGAGTTTTATAGATATCTAAAAGGTTTTAATTAAGCTTTTTATTTTGACATAATTGTAGATTCTCATGTAGCTGTAAGAAATAACAGAGATTCCATGTGCTTTTTACCCAGTTTCTCACAGTGGTAGCATCTTGCATAACTATAGTATAGTTTCACAACCAGGGTACTAATATTGATACAGTTAATGCATAGAATAGTTCTATGACCACAAGGATCCCTCATTCTGCCCTTTTATAACAACAACACTTCTCTCTTGCCCCTACTCCCTGCTTAACCCTGGCAACCATTAATCTGGTCTCCATTACTATAATTTTGTCATTTTGAAAATGTATAAATGGAAATATACAATATGTAATCTTTTAGGAATTGGTTTTTTTCACTCAGCATAATTCTCTGGAGATTCATCGAGATTGTAAATAATTTGAAAAGAATTCAATCTTACTAGTAATTAAGGAAATGTAAATGAAGATGATGATGATACTATTTTGTTAAACTACCAAAGCTTAAACTAACACAGAAAAAGGATAACATACAACAAATGTAACATTATAGGGAAATGTACACTTTCATAAAAACAACAATAATGGTCAATATTGATTGCCTATTTACATGCCAGGCAAAGTTCTAAGCATTTTACCTATATTAAGTTATCTAATCCTCACAACAAGCCTGTGAAGTAATGTCATTATTATCTCCATTTTATAGATGAGCAAACCAAGCATGGCGAGGTTAAAGTAATTTCCCAAGGTCATGGAACTAGTAAATGGCAGAGCCAAGACTCAAACATTTATTTTCTAGCTAATTTTTTTTTTTTTTTTTTTAGGGAGATCAGCCCTGAGCTAAAATCTGCCACAAATCCTCCTCTTTTTGCTGAGGAAGACTGGCCCTGGGCTAACATCCATGCCTATCTTCCTCTACTTTATATGTGGGATGCCTGCCACAGCATGGCTTGATAAGTGGTGCATAGGTCCGCACCCAGGATCCAAACTGGTGAACCCTGGGCTGCCGAAGCGGAGCATGCTGACTTGACCGCTATGCCACCAGGCCAGCCCCTCCTAGCTAATTTTTTTTAATAACAGGTATGCATTATTTGTAGCATCAAAAATTGATTTGTACACAGTTAAAATGGTGCTCTCTTAAGGTAGCAAGTAAATATTCTAGCATCATAGTTATTTCAATGCTCCACGTCATCTCCTATATCCTACAGTGCCATAGCAACCAATAAAAATTAGTATTACTATCACTACTACAAATTTTAAATAAGTAATTTGTATATTATCTATAATTTTAAAAATATTTTTCCTTTTTGGTTGTTTCCAAAACCTCTGAAATCATGACTATTAATATTTAATGTAATAAAATGTACTATAAAGTAAAATGTATTAACATCTTAGTGTATTTCTCAAATTCTAAAATATATGGGGCATCTACAATAAAACTAAGTTTATATGGCTTATTTTTAAAAAGGGATTATTATTGATGTATAGACACAGATTTTTAGAAATGAGGATACAATAAGTGAACCACCCTGAAAATATCATCCCCCAAAGTGTTTCAAGCATTTTTTATGGAACTAGAAATCCACATTAACTAAATGGGTTCCAAACAATCAAAAGTGTTATGTTCATGATTTCTAAGTGTGTAAATGGCACCTACTAATAATTTATATAGATTATGTTAACAATTTAAATATTGTGTCTACCTTTGTAATAAAATAAAAGCTATTTTATTTGCTAATTTTTCCTCTAATGATAGAAATAATTTAGCAAAAGGCAAAAAGTATCTCTTTTTCATTGAGCTTTTGTCATTATAGTTTATTTGCTCTGTTCTAATAGTGTTCTTATTTCTTTTCCAGTTTTAAAACTTTGTGATATATATATTCCAAGGAGGAAGCAAATTATGTGATTGGCTTAACATTACTCAGTTAAAAATAAATTCTTTGTTACTAAACTTAAAAATACTATTTCATGTTTACTATGGCTTGTTGTCTTTAAGTTGTGATAAAAATTACAACAAAGGCATTTATGTTTCCAGGTAAAAAATGTTGCATATATGAACTGAAAATTATTGTCATCATTAAACATGTAACTGGGAAGGTATACTGACAGTCTAGCTAATATTAACACACATACCTCCCAAAAAAGTCACTGAAATGTTTGTGACTCAGAGCACTTTTGGACAAATCCTATTTAACATGTTATGTGATATCTCTTGCTTCAGATAAATGGGCTTATTTCTGTCACTAGAAATAGTGACAATAAATGTATCCTTCTGGTATTTTGACCCAAGTGCTTTTAATATTAATGTTGAATATTTGTTCGTCTTGGATTTTATTCTCTTTTTATGCTTGAAATTTATATTATCCAAGAGTAGAATTATTATGTAACTTTTGTAAAGAGATTCTTTTGTAGCAAATTCTCCATAGGTAAAAATATAGACAACTCAAAATAGTTCTAACAGATTTCAGATATGGATTATGTGTTCTGATTTTATCTAGTGGGAATTGAAGTATTAATTAAATTGGCCCTTCTGCCACAGAAATATGGTTCTACATGTAATTGACTGCATGTGATGTTAATTACATGAATAAGGTAGAGATAGAAACTTTGGGAATTAAATTCTATTTAATATTTAAGTATCACTCCTTTGATATTAACAAGTATTCTGTTTAATTCATATATTATAGCTCTTTTCAAGGTAAGTAAAATTTCTTCTTGACTTCATGAAATTCACATTCAAATTTATAAAATTTTCACATTAAGTTATTGCATTGCAAAGCCCATATTATCTTAGATTCTTAGTGAGGAACTAGTGGTATAGTCAAAATAAATAATTTAAGTGATATTTTCTTTAATGTAGAAAATAGGTTCATTTCTGAAATAGAGATCTGTGCTGTAAATCCTGTAAATTAGAACCTGTTTGCCTATTGAATTCTATTGTATATCTGAATTACTCTTTGGAAAAATGTATGCCACAATCTGGTTTAGCTGTGACACTGCTTTTATGAGCAGAGCAGGGAGATTTTCATAGCAACAATGTAGCATTTTTCTCTAGTGACCCACCCACTTATCTCCTGGGAAATTTTTGTACCTCTCTATTCTGTATGTTCTGGCTTACTTATGTTGGAATGTCCCAGGGCTTGAGTACAATGTAACAGCTAACTTTTTGGACCTCCTACTGCATGTCAGGTATAATTCCAGGCACTTTACAGGGATAATCTAACTCTATAAAGTAGAATGTATTAACCCCATTTCCAGATGAGGAAACTGAAGAGCAGAGAGCTCCCGTTGCTGGGAAGTACTTGAGAACACAGTTTGATTCCAGAGCTGAGCTTAGGACCTCTATGCAATGCTGCCTTCTCATTTTCTAGACTAGAGCTCCTCAATCATGAATGGGTTACAAGTGTGCTCAGATATGGGTCCCCTCAGCCTTTGGAGATGCTGGGCAGGACCGGGAGCCCAGCACATCCAGTCTGTTCCTAATGCTGTGAGCAGCTTTATCCATTTCTGCCAGTGTGCTACACAAAGATGATTGTTTTCTACATGTGCCATGATGTGAAAAAGTTCAACAAGCACACTGCCCTAGAGCAAAGAAAATATTTAGAGATAAATATACTAGCTGTGTTTCCTAATTTGCAACTGACAAATAAATTTTCAGATTCAGCAATGCTCTGGCAAGGGATAATTTGTGTACCTTATTTAATTCTACTTTACGTTGCTTCTTGTCCAAGTATTACATATGACGAAAGGTTTGAGAGCAAAGGGTAATAATTTCTTATTGATATTTTGTTATGATTCATATTAATGTTCATAACTTTACATTAGGCAACATTTACCCTAGCTAGAGTTATCATGAAGTCTTTACATCATTAAAACTGAATTTATTTAATTATTCTTGATAAATCATTTTTACTGTTTATGTAAACTGCCTACTTATTAGTTAATCAGAATTGGAAAATGTTTAGGTTTGAATGCTGAGGTAGTACAAAGCACATGGGGGGTGCACAAGGTTAATAAGGGAACGCTTTTGGAAGAAGTAATGCTTGCAAGTTTAAAAAACATGATGGAATAGGTATGCTTGTTGATGAGGAAAGCTGTGGGTTGTTAAGGAGAGCTTGCGCAGCGCTGAAATGACTTTGGAGACTTCACATCACTTCAGTGCCAGAATGAAAGAAAGACAAAATAGTTTAGAATCCCTGGGAACCTTAGAACAGCTCATGGGAACCCAATTGATAATCTCAACTGGTTTAAATAAAACAGTAGTCACGCATAAACACTTGCACTCAAATGTTTTCATTGAGTTTAAAATGAATTTTCACAGTGCATTAATCATGGATGCTCATCTGGAAGTGTGGTTTGTGGTTTTCCATATTTTACCTCAATAGAAGTTTTCAGCTAGAGATAAACATGTTACAGATAAGCCAAAGAGGAAGAAATTCATTTCCTCTTGATTGCAACAGTCAGAGAATGATTGCCCACTTGTTCGATCTGTTTTAGTACTTTGGTGGCACCATTTTTGGAGCTTTGACTATCTGTTGACTGGTCTGAATATGTGATTACACAAGAAATACCAGGGAGGGGACAGCAAAGGTGACTCTGATGTTGTAAGCTTCACTGACTCAATAATAATGGGCCATTGTCACTGAAAGTATTTCCTCGAAGAGGAGCTGATTGGTATGTTTGGAGTGGTAAGGATGATGAATTCTTTGGGGAACATGTAGCTCTAAAGGAGCTAGGAGATCCAAGTGGAGATTTCATGAATGTATTTGGAAATACTTGCCTGGAGTCATGTGGAGAGATTAGAACTGGAGGTTTTAAATTGGAAGTCATCTACTCACAGCCGTAGGGGTGAGAAAGACCATCTCTCCAAGGAAAAAAGAAAGATAAACTAAAAGGCCTGATCACATTACCAGGATAACTACCATCACAGGAGGAGAAAGCTGGGCAACAAAGAAGATAGCCATCCTGACCTCCTTGATGTTCCTGAACCCACCAAACATAGCCCCCTCAGGGCTTGTACCTTCAATCTTCACTCTGGAATGTTCTTCCCACAGAGTTAGAGGTGTCCTTTGTGCTCCCATTATACTCTATGTTTCTGATGCTACATTCACCATAGAGTATGACACTTACCTGTTTAGGTTCTTGTCTGACCTGCTACACAATACATATTCATTGAACGAATGAATGGCAGAAGTGGAATGAAAAGAGATTGTGCTCAGCATCACATTTCAGAAATCAACATCTTGGAGTTCTCATAAATTGGTCAGATGACATCTTATTTCAAGGATGCCCATTGTGTGTCAGGCCTTCCTGGAACAAAGACCAGACATTTTTAAACAATGTCAACAGGACTCTCTCCATTTTGGGCTCAGATTTTCTAAGTACTGGCTTCATCTTCAGGCAGGCTTTCTCTAAATGGCAGCAAAGTCAACATTCACTCCACAAAAATGATTCTGTCTCTGCTGAGGTCACTTGCCTACCTCTGTGAAACTAGGGGAGGAGAGGCCTCTTATGGGACTACCCAGGAGAGAGATGGGGACAGTTTTGAAAGCAGAGAATGATATGGGGGCAAAACCAAAAAGTAACAAGTCCATTCTAGAAATCATAAAAGAAGCCATCAAGTGGCATAGCGACCTGAAATAATAGTAAGGAGCAGAAGGAGAAAAGGAGTAAATTCAATCTGCCTCTTCTCCATCTTACTGTCAAAATTACAATCTGCTGTCAGGAGGAAGGATTCTGGGTCCCAGGATTGTCTCTGTTGTCTGTTTGAGGTTCCATAGATGAAGGAGAGTTGAAAAATCATCAGCTGTCAATAAACCCACTTGTCAGCATTAGAATATTTAGCCTCAGTATTTTCATCTTTTCAAACCTTGCTTTTGGTTTGATATGAAAATAAAATATATGAAAACTTTATGCAAACTTCATAAAGTTCTCTAATGTCATATATAAAATGATATCAGTACAGCATGGGCTTTGTAAATAGATCCAGGTTCAAAGCCTGCTCTACCATTTGCAATCTGCGTGAAGCTGAGACAGATGACTTAAGCTTTTGTGTCTCATTCTCTCAGGTACTTACCTTAGGGGTTAAAGGAAAAGCATTTGGAACATTGTCCAGTGCAACAGTCAATACTGGTAGGTATTATTGGCATTATTGTTGTGGTTTAAGAATTGTTTTATTATGGTAAAATATACATAACATGAAACTTACCATTTTAACCGTTGTAAGGTGTGCCTTTAAGTGGCAGTAAGTACATTCACATTGTTGTGCAACTATCACCACCATCCATCTCCAAAACATTTTCATCTTCCCAAACTGAAACTGTACCCATTAAACACTATCTCCCCATTTCTCTCTTCCTCCAATACCCTGATAACCACCGTCCTACTTTCTGTCTCCATGAGTTTGCCTATTCTAGGTACCTCATGTAAATGGAATTATACATTTGTCCTTTCGTGTCTGGCTTATTAAAAAATTTTTTTTAGTTACAAAAGCTAAATCCATATGTTTTAGTCATTGATTCCTGAGGTTCCTGTATTACATGGGCCCTAATAAATATCCCTAAATTCCATCATCTTCTTGCTAGTATCTACTAATTACAGGTACAATCTCACTTGGAGAAAAATAGTCTCCACTGTGCATGCTGTAGATGTCCAATTTGTGTCCACGAGCATCACAGAAGCAAAATTTTTCTTAGGGACTATAAAATCTGAAAATATTTCTGAAAGGTAGCCCTTAAATACTTCGGTGCTTTCATGGTGTATGAGGATACAGTTTTGACAAATAGAAATGGTGAGCAATAGGATATATTGGAGTATATGAGGAAGCCATTTGGTGTAAACCTAATTCAGCCAGACTTGGTTTTTCCAAAAGGGCCTGACATGGCATTGAGCAGGCATTGTATATCTGCATTAAGCATGTCCTATGGCAAGAACAAATGCACTTAGGATAAAGATGCAACTTCCCCCGACATTGGCATTTCCTTAAGGATAAGCATCTCTCCTTAGGCTAGGAACTGATTGCTGTGCTCACCTGTGACCACCTGGCTCTAGACAAAAGATCAGCCACCCTGCATGTCCACTGAGACAGCAGACCTACTACCTGCTGTGTCCATCAATAGCTGTGCCGACAGAGCAGTCTCGTGACTATTGTAAAAGGGACATTTCAATCATATGTGAAACATCCTCTTTGAGGGTATATAACCACTCTGTACACCTCACTGCTTTGGTGCCCTTCTTTCTTTGGGGAAGGAAGGCCCCACGCTATGGTCCTCACATTTTGGCTCAGAATAAACTCACCTAAATTTTCATTTATAGAGTGATTATGGATTATTTGCGTCAACAGTTTTCAGCTTGAGAATCGCAGCTCCTTAGTGATCAGCCTCACGACTCCTCTCCCAAAGTAAGTTATACAGTCAGCAAAATAGACGGCAACAAGCCATAAATATTTATTATTAAAAAATGACGAAGGCCTAAATCAAGAGGTAAGATTAATTATTCAGAAAAAGTTCTATTTTTAAAAAGTTCTCTCACAGATTTGTGGCAATTATGCAACCTATTTCTTTTTATCATGTATGTGAGCTCAATGAGCTACTGCCCTGCCTGGCAAGTCTACATTCCTTCAGTTCTGCATAATAATGCCAATTCCTGGATAAAAAGCAAGAATGGTTAAGTGTGTAACAAGTACCAAGCAAGTTGTTTCTGTAGCAACAAATCATCCACACAAAATCTCTTATGGTTTTTACCTCTTTACTACAATGCAACTCTTTTCAATGCAAATGTGGCTGCATCCATCAAATGGAACGTCCTAAAACTGCTGCTTGAAAATCTGGGAGCAGACTGTTTCTCTTCAGCTCAGCTCCTTTGCACCCTATCTTTCTGCAGTCCATGACCCAGATTACAGTAATTGCTAGTGTATATGCCACTTCTTCTGCTTTCTTTCTACAATCTTGGGCAAGCAATTATCTCTGAACCTGGGCTGTTTCATCTGTAAAACAGGCAGATTTAGACAGCTTGTGAAAATGCCCAGCACAGTGTGTAGCATATAGTAAGGCCCATAGGTACGTATTAGATGTAGGAAAGCCACATGGGAGGATATGTTGTAGTTTTCCAGTCCTTTTTCTCCTTGAGACTATTTTTCATTTCTCTCCCAACAACCATCACAGAGTCTTGCTCCAGTATTTGGGACCTGAAATTTCCACGTCATTTGCCCTTCTGCTAGCAAGGCCTCTGCCTAGCAAAACCTAAGACTGCAGGCTGGGAATCACTGCTCTAGGGATTTAATTATCTTCATCTCATCCAGACTCTTGGCCCTCAGGACTCTGCCTGCTGCTTTGCAGAGCAAGTTTGATAGCCTCCTATCTCTAGCTTTTAAGCATTAAATGAAATGACATTGACTCAGACAGACATTTGAAAGGACACTGTGATAACCAAGAGAGGCAAAGATTCTGCTGAAACAAAAGCGAAAAAAGTGTTTATATTTTACATTAACCCTGGGCTTTTTGTCAGAAAAGGTGATGTTACGTTCAGCATATACTTCTATTTCTTTAAACAATTATGCTAGTATTTTTTGAGTGCTTGCTACAGCCCAGGCCCTGGTGCTAAGCATCTCGCATATATTATTTCAATTAATCTACCCAGCAATACTAGGAGATAGGTGCCACTCATACCTATTTTATAGGTAAGGAAACCAAGGCCTAGAAGGGGTAAGTAATTTGCCTAACTTCACACAATGACTGACAGAACTGAATGAAAAACAGGCCTGCCTGAGAACCCAGTCTGGCCGCCATGCCGGGGTGTTCAGTGGTGTGTTCAAATGCAGTTCCTCGGTACGGGAAAGACAGTACTGCGTACCCCCCAAATCGGGAAGCCTCTGGAGGGCTTGAAATGCTTGTCCTTTTTACTGCACTTTTTGTTCCCCTCTTGTCCTCTTTGTTTTTCTTTTATTGAGGTCCTCAGGTTTAACTTTTTTAATACTAAAATCCATCTGTTCTCTGTTGCTTGCAGTGAGAAACATAAGGCTTCGAGAGGGCCGCACACCGCACATGTCAGAAATTCCCCGTCAAGGGCGTGGCAGCACAACAGGCTGAATCCCTTCAAGGGTAAATGGCGAGCTCAGTGATTCCTGTGGTTGGAATTTTTCTTTTATAATCAAAATAGTAAGAATATTTGATTAATTTTCTGTGAAGCTGTGCCTGTAAATTAAGAATTATGAATGCCCAAATATGCACAATATTTTATTTCTTTAAGTAAGAAATATAGAGTCCATTTGTAGAATTTATTGTCTATATGAAAAAAAATCAGCAATCACTGATCAGATTTCATGTGGGTGATAGCAGCTGTCACCAGAGTGGGTCCACAAGGGAGTGTCTTGGGAAGGTTCTATTTCTTCTATTGGAATTTTGACTTCTATGTTTTTTAGTTCATTATTTTTTAATTTTTATTTTTATATACTTTATAATGTATATAAATGTTTTAAAATATACATAACATAATTTATATTTGAAATCATGTTCTATGTCCATTATAATATGTTATATATATATATACACACACACACACACACACACATAAATAAGAAGTACATGTTCAAAACATTTTATTGAATGAAATGAATGATCATAAAAAGCCTGGAGAGCATGGCTGAGAGATCTCTTGAATTATAAAATATTAGGAATTCTCGTGAATTTGAGACTTAAACTTCAAGCTTTCTAAAATAAAATAAGCTTTTTTTTTTGTAATCCAAACAACCAGAAATTTTTGAAAGATACAGTATTTCCATAAGAAAGAGCTAAACCATAAATAAATATATCAGATGATAAAGTTAAAAGCCCACTTGTAGGATATACCAGGTTCATCTACATTAATGTATATGACGATTAAAAGCCATAATAGCATCCTTGGGGCTTTGCAAAATTTTTATCCTCTAGCCTAAACTGTCTTAATTGCCTCTTGTCTAAAAGTAAGATAATATATAGTGCCAGTTATTGGTAAATTATTCTTTTTCAAGTTGGTTGCCTACACTTTCAGTGGCTCCATTTGTCCTGATGTGACCTACAAGATTTTCTAGTATTCTGATGGTATCCAATCCTACCTCATCGCTCTCCCCAACTCTCCTCCAAGTCTGTGCTACGTTCACTTCTCTTAACAATTTTCCTGCCTTTGGACATTTGCAGGATCCTTTTCCTTTTCATGAGAGAAAATCCCTTCCCTGTCTTTTGCCTGGCTGACCTCTTCCCACCCTTTCAGTCTCAGCTAGAATATTTTTCCTTCTCCAAAGTTCATATTAGTTGCTTCTGCTGTGTGCTCCGAGGCATCCTGTACTCTTCTATCCTTTAACATTTATGACATTGCATATTTAGATATCTGTCTTGCAACCCTAAATTTGTAATACTCACCTCACATTTCTGGCATATTGGACTATCCGATCACAATTCCCTGGACCCAGGTCTGGATGGAGAAATAATGGGGCGTGACTGAAGCCTTCCTACTTGGGTGAGGCAGAAGTTTCTCTGGACCTTAAATGACACTGCACACGTACCCTCATCAGCTGGTTTGTACTTTGGGGACTGATTATTAGCGGCTTTGATATCTTCACTTAAATCAATTACTTCCCCACTCTTTTTTTTCTTTTGCTTTTCTCCTTCTTGTCTTCTCTTCTTTCTTCTGTTTGTTAGACTGACATGTTAGCCCTGCTAATATTTCTAGTTTTTCTCCATATACCTACAGTCTATGGGAAATTAACATTGGTCTTCTAGGTAGTGTTGGGAAAAACTTATGCACTGATCCAGAGAATGGCCAGCTGAGAAATGCTCCTGAGCAGAAGGCAAGAGAATGCACTACAGCATGGAAAGGATCAAGCTGATTTCAGATGAGACAAGATTTAGTAGGATATTTGACCCTTGACCCACAATTAGTCTTTTAATGTAAATTTTCCCTAATTTGGGGAAAAGAATTAGACTCTTCTTTCTCAATTCCTAATGTTTTATTTTTAATCAAGAAATGCATTTTCTCTATCTTTATTTCCACTTGACTCTTGGGCAAGGATGTTAGAAATTATGCTGTCAGCAAAGTTGTATTTGATTATAAAGGCAAAAGCATTGCAGAATCATTTGAAATTCTATTTTGTTTATGTCCTAATTCAAATATGACCTTGACTTTATTTAATTGCAATAGATGGTATATTATAACCACTCCTCAGCCATTTTTCTGGATCATGAATTCAGATTTATGTTATTCTCCTGTTAGTTGATTTGAAAAGTGTTTTATTTAAGTTTCCATTGTGTTGAATATTTCTTTTGTGAATCTGAATTGCAGATTTGCTCTACCCTCTCTCCCAGAGCTAACTTAAACCCAACAGACAGATGATCTTAAAATAGGCACCATTCTCAAGAGTTATTTTTACAATAATTTTCTATTGCCTCTAGTGGTATTGTTGGCTTTAATATCTTCTCAAGATTGTGCCTTGCAAAGCACAGCAAATTAATTTACTTAATTTGTCAATTTCTTAGTGTCCAAAGTTTTCTTTATATCTTTAACAAACAGGGAAAATTATTTTAACTAGCCAGAAGTTAAAGGGTGAAATTCTTATTTAAAGTCATTATTTGTCTTTTAATGGTTGAATATATGGTGAAGTAAACATTCTAAGTTTCACATTTATTAGAGTTATTGTGGGGGCCTGGAATTGGCCACCCCAAGATATGTCTCTTTGACATGTTGATTATTTGGGGCTGGTTACTTTGCAGACAGGAAAGCAACTGAAAAGTAGAATTTACTTACCTTTTGTAAGAGACATTTACATTGTAAAGGAAATCTCCATCTGTAAAGATGTCTCCCTCTCTGTACCAAGAAGAAGGGGGGATGACCTTATCTCTAGAAGCTCTTAATCAATGGGGAAGGCAAGGACTTAAATCTGCATTTGTTTATTGTGCTTGTTTGGTAACCTCCTGTAACTGACTCTCCCCACCCCCAACATCCTCCTTTGTCTTTAGCTGGATATGATATTTAAGGTGGTGGCTTCAGCCATTTTGGCGAGTTGCTCAGCCTGAGCCTCTCCCATGTATACATGTTATAAAGCTTTGTTTAATTTTCTCCTGTTATTCTGTCTCATGTGAATTTAATTCATTCTCCAGCCAGAAGAACCCAGAGAGGGTAGAGGAAATGTCTTCCTCCCCTACATTATCATAGTAATTGTCAATGATACAGTCCAATGAAAAGTACGAATGATTGATTGGAAGATCATGTGTATGTAGAGCAAGATGTAGAGAATCTAGAAAATACAGATAAACGAAAAGAACATAATCACCCATAATCTAATTATCCAGAGACAACTACTGTTAATATTTTAATATTAATCATTTTTGTCATACTTTTTGTATGTGTATAAAACTAAGTGAAAATAATAGTGTACAAATAGTGTGCATTGAATACCTATTTGTGGAAAATGATAGAAAAAGACAAAGTCTCCTTAGGTTGTGGTGGTTGTTTTTGTTTTTTGATAGAACACTTCCTGATTTTTAATACAGAAATCTTATGGAAAAAAATACATATCTCAAGTCAACACTTCATGGTCAGTTTTTAATACAGAAAGAAATATATATTTACACCCAGCAAACTTAATACAACAATTTTAACAAAACAATGCTTGGGAAAGCCTCACATTATAGTATGGGCACAATCGATAGTTAAGAATCAAATGTACATGTTTTGGGAAGATCACTTGTGTCAACAAAGGTCATCTGCTTCCTTGAGGTTGGTACCTGAAGATGCCTTATTCATTTATAAAAAGTAAAAGTTTTTAAATAATTCTATTAATTAATGATTATGAAGCAATGTTTTAAGCAATTTATATCCTTATATGATAGCTTTCTACATATATGTAGGCATTCTGCTGTGGTTTATATATGATTTATGAACTTGGGGAATTGGAGGTTGACATGACGCATTATAACTTCTGCATTAGAATGATGAAAAATAGGCACCTGCTTAGCATTTTCCTGCAGATTTTCAGGACTGCATTATTAATGTTAATAATACATTACAGGTGTTAATATTAATTATATAGGCATGTGAGATGCCTGTAAATGTAATTGTTTGTGTGTGCATAAACAATTTCTGGAATCATATACAAGAAATTGGTATCATTGGTTGCTCTGTGGCTGAGGACAGGAATGCCCATTTTGAACCATGTGTATATGTTAGCTATCAAAAGTGGAATTATAAAAATACGACTGAATATAATGTGAAAAATACACTCATAAGCCTTTGAAGATGACTAATTTTATCTATTTACAGAAAAAGCAAACATGATTTAACCTTAGTGATTCAAGATTTCTATCAGTATTAATTATGCAATGAATTACTAAGGGCCTAATGAGATATAAGGAGATGTTTACATCCATAGTGGATTCCAACTGGTGGTTTTCAAGTTCTAGTTAGGTATCCAGTGGTCCCTTTAAGGAGCAATTGGACATGAGCTGGCATGCACTGGGATATCTCATTAAGGAGGACTTTGAGGAGAGGGAGAGAAAGAGAGGCGAGGGAGAAGAAAGAGATAGAGGGAGACAGGAGAAGGAAAAGAGAGAGAGAGAATAGAGAGAGAGAGGAGGGAGAAGAAACAGAGGGAGAGAGGAGAGGGAGAGAGAGAGGAAAAAGAAGGACTGGGGCAGGGGATGAGGGGAGGGAGAAGGAGAAGTGGAAGGAGGAGGAGGAGAAGGAAGAAGAGGAGGAGGAGGAAAAGGAGAGGAGAAGAAGAGGAAAGAGAAAAGAAAGAAGAAAAAGAAAATTGCCCTGAGAGTTTCCCACTTTCTGCTTTCTTCTGGCTGTTTATCTGATTCACAATGCATTGCTCTCAGCTACAACTTTTGTTACCTCCCCGATCAGCTCCAGGCATTTCTTAATGACCTCCCAGATACAGCTTGAGCTGCTAAATGACATCCTGCCTCTAGAAACAAAGATTGAACTTCCTTCCTGTTCAATTATTTTTGGAACTGCCCTATGTTTTTTGCAACCCTCATCCTTAATGTGTCTAGCTCCGGTTCACTGTAGAAACTGGATACTACTTTGTTAGGCTGTGACAGAAACTCTCAGTGGCCTTATCCATCTGCAGAGTTTTAGAGGCACGTGTTCTAATTGCTCTGATTTATTTAAGAGAATTCCAAAGCCAGGCTTTATTCCCATGTGCCTTAATCTCAAAATACAGATTTTTCCCTGTGGGAAAAGGGTAATGAAT